GAAAATTCCTCTTGGGGTCGTTCACAGATTTCGTTCACCTGTGTTCGTCAAAGGGTGCCGGGACAATTGGTTTGGGGATGGGGATGGTTAACTGGATCTAACCCTACTTGGATTTTATACTTTTAGATCCAGACCATTTCGCTGATAACTGCACACCGCCTCGTGTCATCTCGGCTGATCTAAGACCGTTCTCCGCATGCTTGCAAGTTCTACCCCCTCAGGGCGAGATGGCCCAAGTGGTTAGAACCCGAATTTGCTGACAGGAAGGTCCGTGGTTCGAACCCGACCTGGGCCTCTCGACTTCTTCTGTCTAGGCTTGGGCAACCTGGCAATATCTCAGCCCTCGTGCTTCCTCCAGGTGGCATGGCAGTTAGGCACCGACAACTGAACGAACGAACTCTACCTCCCTGTATTCAATTCATGCTTGGCGATTTCCACCGCCTCAGTCACCAAACGCCGTGGTGTGAATCTTAAACCCCATTTTCTAAATCTATCCTGTGCCCAGCGTCTAGTACGCGCCCTACCACTACCAAATCTTTGACTATCGCTTGATACTCATCTACGTTTCTCGGTGGATCGTTTATGCTCACCGACTCTGGTATGCGATTCCCTGGCTAACTAACCTATATAAACCTTCGTACAGTCGTTACACTTCATTTTGTATACACGGTTCCTAGTCTTATTAACCGGAAGGCGATCGTTCAAATGCCCTGGTACAGAGCGTAGTCTTTCCTTCCCAGAATGCTGGCAAACAGTTAGCCGTATTCTAGTGACTTAAGATGTCCCTGTTTTGTATGGAATGACCGCTGTTCCGATCCACTCCTTGTTGGGTGTTGGCACCAATACCCGTCTTAGTTGCCGCTTAATTAAACCCGTTGGGTATCCGCTATCTTGAAGTTGCTTTTTTTTACCTCAATTTGTGCTACTCTTCGGTCGACTTCCTACACACACAGTGCTCTCACTATCCTAAACATCGTTGAAACTATACTGGCATATACTACTTTTGGATGTGTTGAGGAGTAGTTTAAGACCGCGCCGCTATCTGTTGATTTCCGGTAAACAGTGGTTTTTAATTTCCCATTACACTTGTATGCCATGCAGTCAAGGAAAATTAGTGTACTCTTGACAAACACAGGTGAACGGAATCTGTAGACGACCGCAAGACAAATTTTCCAGTAAGATGTCCTAGACTGAAAAAGCAAGGACGGAAAATCCGGCTTCATCATGGAGGCAAATCCTTCCCCCCTGACCAATCTATCGTAATGTCAGTCATCCCCACTAACCAAGAAACAGGGACATCAGACTGAACACCCAGCACCGATCAAGTCGGTTAGTCAAAAGAAATCTCATGAACTGTTTCTCTGACTGCCTTAAAACCCAATCAACCTGCTTGCCTACTCACTTGACCTGACAAAGCTTTTGTGTCAAAAGCGAAACGTTGCCCAGTAATAAATTCACCGATTGTTTACCGAAACCTCTCTGAAACACTTTCCAATGGATTGAAAATCAATCACATGTTTATTTGATTCGGTTGCATCAAGTAGGATGACTCAGTCAGTGGACCGATTGTCTTGCTGTGTCTGGTTGATAAGGTGAGTCCGATTGAAACCTGTTCCAATTCACCAGTCCACGATTTTTCCCATTGATTTATTTGTCTTCTGCGTTCATGGTTTCAACTTTATGTTAGAGTTTGTACGACAATAAAAAAATGCTCATTCGCGGACGGTGAACTGAACTGGATTATCATGCCAGATAAGCAATGGGCTCCTGCTTGATAAAAAAAATCAAAGCTGCATTTCGACTAATCTCGAAACACTACTATTGAATACGACAACAGTGTAATGTCTCGAGAGACGGTTCGAACCAGAAGGGGGATCTCCTCGATATTCAACGTTCATCGGGACAGGAGAAGCCAGCAGTGAACTAACCAAGATTCATGGCAGATGGAGGCGGAGATCTTTGAGATGTGCTGTGCGACTAGATCCAGGTGGAGTATCAGCAGACACTTTCAGTCCGCTATCGATTGCAGTATGCACGTTATTACCCATGGGACTGCGCTGCCCCGGGACTCAACCGGCTGAACAGCACATTGGCTTGTAGCTTAGACGTAAACCAGAAACCCGACTGGTTCCTTTGCGCCCAAGCAAAATCAAAGTGTGTTAGGAAATCCGGAAGTTTATCCAATTCTCTAATCGCGATCGATTTTTCACCAGTGTCTTGAAAATATAACGGGGTGAAGTACAACGCACCGTTATATGTACCGGTTCAGATATTCGTTTTTCTGATAGCAAAAAGCACTTGCTGAGCCGTAACTGCTTGGTTTTAGGTAAGAGTTTATATTCACCTCAATAGGGATTTTTACTGTGTAAGGACAAATAACAAAGTAACAAAAGTAACAAAGTAGGAATGAGCTCAGAGTGAAGAAGAATTCTACTGGTTATATCAATGAAATGCACGAACAAATTTTCATGTCACTGAACGCAGGATTTCGTGGTCTCCCATCTGTTAACAATTTAGACTTATTAAAACAAGGTAGCGCTACAAACTGCGCAGATCTGACCGCAAATCGCTACGATCGATAGCTATGAATTTAGGACACCCATGAATTCAGTCCCTTCTAGGGCTAAGCTGTAGAAAAGTGGGTACATCCATTACCTTGTAAACTAAATTTAGAAGCGAAATCTGTTGTACTTGAAAGTGCAAACTGATGGAGATGATCCGTATCAACAATTGAAGGTATGCGCTACAAAAATGACGTTCCTGAAACAAAATATAGTTTGGAATCTCCGTTGAAATAAACACACCAAGTAAAACAGCTGAGCTCAGCCACAATAAAAGTTGGTACACCTACTCTGAGTGGATTTTCGTTCAGGTAGGGTGGTTCTCCGTCCAACATCTCGATCGCCATGATGCCGAGAGACCAAATATCGACTTTGGGACCATACTGTTTGCGTGATACCACCTCGGGGGCCATCCAGTAGGGTGTACCAACCATGGTAGACCGTTTGGTCGCATCCGCACTGAGTTGTGCACAAAACCCGAAGTCGGTCAGCTTCACAGAACCGTCCATGCCGAGAAGGATGTTGTCGGATTTTATATCGCGGTGGATCACACGATTGGCATGCAGAAACTCCAGTGCCAAAAGAATCTATATGCAGAAAGTGACAACAGGCTAAGTAGTGAAGCAGTGTCGGTATAAAAGAAGGAGATATATTTGGGGTAGACAGAAACACACCTCTTTACAAATTGCTGCAATGTGGCCTTCCTCCATACAGGTTTCCATGACAACGTCTGTCAACGACCCACCATCCAAATATTCCATGACAACCCACAATTCTTCGCCGGTCCCACTAGCAGAAGAAGGATTATCCCCGTTTGTAGTTGGCTGACGACTGACTGCTGTTGAGACCAGGTAGCTATCCAAATAGTTAACGATATTGGCTTGTCGATTGCTTTTCATCACGAGAATCTCGTTGACGATCAGTTCCTTCTTGGGTTGCTGAGCCAGATTCATCTGCTTGATTGCAACCAACTTTTTCGTGCCGATCTCGTAGCCACTATAGACGATACCGGATGCACTGTGAAAACCGCGGAGAGAATGACAAAGAGTAACAGTAAGTTTGAGACATTTTAAGACGATAACAGTAATAATAATAATAGTAATACTAATACTCGTATGGCACCTACACCATTTCGGCATGAGGGGTGTCAGGTTACCCAAGCCCAGACAGGAGGGGTCGAGGTTGGGTTCGAACCACGGGTCTACCAGTCAGTAAGTTAGCGCCTTAACCACTGAGCTATCTCGAGCGTGCTGATGTCAGAATATGAGCCCATCCAACTGCACATTCAGAAGAGAGTAGCGAAAGTAGCGAAATGCTCAATACCAATCACTGGCCTAAGCCTAGTTGGTCTCCACTGCAAATTTCAATCGCCATAGTCCCTAAATGCAGCTTCTGATGATGTTTAACTGTTTTCAGCTAATTAATGAAGAACGGATGGTAACTAGGGGGCAAATAAATAAATAAATAAATAAATAAA